AAAAATAAATAAATATAAAAAAAAAACAAAAATACATTTTAAAAAAGAGCAATACATAATAATCAATGGAAATTTAAACCCTGAGTTGAAGGGGCCGGGGAGATAGCTCAGTAGAATAAGCAAGCGCAAGTGCCGGAGTTCAATCCCTGAGTCTTCCAAAAAAAATATAAAAATAAACCCGGAATTGAAAGAGACTCAGTATTTGAAAATCAATCACTATAATACATCACATTAACAATAGAAGTAAAAGGTGTCATCATATCAGTTAAACAAATTGAAGGTTCTTTCAAGATAAATTCAGAAAATTTGAAACAGAAAAGAGCATATTCATATTGATAAAAGGCAACTACAAAATTATACGTGTAAAATCATGCTTTATGTACAAGACTGCTTTCCCTGAAGGTCAAGAACAAGGCAAAAGTACCTGCTCTCACCACTTTTTAATATCATATGCAAAACCCTAACCACTGCAATAAGGCAAGAAAAAGAAAACACACACAATACAAACAACGTGCTCTTATTCCCAGACTTCCCGGAACTAAACTTGGCAGAACTAACAAGCATGTTCATCAAGGAGGCCAGGTCAGAGTGTAGAAATGAATCATATATATGTATATATCAGAAACTGGGGCTGACCAAATAGCTCAGTGGATTAAAGCGCCTGCAAGCAGGCTCAGGAGCCCAGGGTTTGATCCCTGAGCCTGCTGAGATTGAGACTGGGCATGGTGGCGTGCGCCTGTAATCCCAGCTCTTGGGAGGCTGTAAACAGGCAGATCAGGAGACCAAGCTAGTAGTGAGACCCTGAGCACCCTGTAGACTCTTCCTTAAAAATACAAAAATACAAGAAAAAAAAAATCAGAAACTGAATTCGACAAAGGATTAAAATATGAAAGAAAGCCTATTTAGGGTCAGGGAGATAGCTCAGTAGAATAAGTGCTTGCCTGGCAAGCACAGGGTCCTGAGTTCAATCTCTGGTACCACGAAAAAAAGAAAAGGAAAGGAAAGCCTGTTTAATAAGTGGTGCTAGGGGCTTTCAGGTAGGAGGAGGCTAAGGTGCAACTTTCTTCGGTCATCCCGAATCCAGGTTCATCCGACACCAGCCACCTCCAGCATGCCACCCAACTTCGACCCCAACGAGATTAAAGTCGTGTACTTGAGGTGCACCGGTGGTGAAGTTGGCGCCACGTCTGCCCTGGCCCCCAAGATCGGTCCCTTGAGTCTGTCTCCAAAAAAAGTGGGGGATGACATTGCCAAGGCAACTGGTGACTGGAAGGGCCTGCGGATCACGGTGAAACTGACCATTCAGAACAGACGGGCTCAGAGTGAGGCGGTGCCTTCTGCCTCTGCCCTGATCATCAAAGCCCTCAAGGAGCCACCAAGAGACAGAAAGAAGCAGAAAAACATTAAACACAGCGGAAATATCACTTTTCATGAGATTTTCAACATTGCCCGACAGATGCGGCACCAGTCTTTAGCCAGAGAACTTTCTGGAACCATTAAGGAGATCCTGGGGACCGCCCAGTCTGTGGGCTGCAACGTGACAGCCCGCACCCTCATGACATCATAGATGACATCAACAACAGCATTGTTGAGTGTCCAGCTAGCTAAGAAGCAAAAGAAAATATATCAGTAAAGAGATGATCTGAAAAAAAAAAAAAGTGGTGCTAGGAAAACTAGCTATCTACCTGCAGACAATTAAATCTAAAAACCTGTCTCTCATCATGTACTAAACTAAAATAAAAATGGACCAAAGACCTAATATCAAAACAAACACTTAATCTCACTCCAATCTGTGGAGTGAGACTTTGTGGACCCTGTATTAAATGTATTAAAAAAGAAAAAAAGTTGTGGAAAGAACAACTTTAATCATTTCTTCTGTTAAGCACTAATCAGTAGAATGCTACTCCTGGTTGTATACTGTGCAACGTATATACAATGTATATTCTTTAATGTTTTATTTATTTATTTATATTTTATGTATTTGGTACAGGGTCTCAATACACAGCTCAGACTGGTAGCCATGCTCCTGTTTTCAGCCTCCCCAGCACTGGGATTACAGGTGTGCCCCACTACACTCGGACTCTGCGGCCAGCTCAGCCCACCCTGGGGTGGGGCTGGTGGGGCTTGTGCCAGCAAACCACAGTCCCTGAGCTTGCCTGAGCTTGCCTGAGCAGGCACTTTACTCCACTGAGCTACCTCGCTGGCCCCTCCATAAGTTTCAAAAGATGGTCTTGCAGGGCACATCAACCTGAGTTGAAGGTTGTTTGCTTTTAGAGCCTAAAGTAATTCTCTCCAAGTTCTCCTTGACTTGAGGGCTTGTGTTGAGAAGTGTGCTGTGACCCCAATGGGCTTACCTTTATAGGTGACTTGTTTCTTTTTTCTAACAGCTTTTAATATTCTATTCTTAGGCAGAATTTCTGGAATCTTAACTATTACATGCTTTTGTGTAGCTTTTAAAATCATGACTAGTTGGAGTTCTATATGCCTCATTTATATGTATGTCAATTTCTCTTACGTTTCCTGGAAAGTTTTCTTCCATTACTTCTGTGAACAGGATTTTTTAAAATGTGGTTTGTGCCATCCTCTGGTTTTTTGTTGACTCTGACTTTATATTATTTTCTTTGCATCATCTAGTAGGTGTTGATTTTTTCATGATCCTTTGCTATTGGGGGGGCGGGTGCCAGGGATTGAACTCAGGACCTTGTGCTTGCCAGGCAAGCACTTATGCCACTGAGCTATCTCCCCAACCCCCAGCCCTTGCTATTTTTTTCCCATGCTATTTTAAAGAAATCTTTCTTTTCATGATTTTTAACCACAACCTTATCTTCTTTATCTGATATTCTGTCCTCACATTGGCTCGTTCTGCTGTGTATACTTTCAATGGAATTTTTAATCCCCTAGATATCTGTTTGAATCTGTTTTGTGGATTCCCCTTCTTTTCCCCTATGTTGGACATTCATGGCTGCCTAAGATCCTCTATCTTTATCTGTGTCTGCTCTAGTCACTAACCATGTCTTTCATTATGGTTGCCATCTCCATAGTTATCTGAGAAATGCTTTGTGATTTGGTTTTTTTCCAGCACCTCATTCATCTGCTTTGCGACTTCTGCTGTTACCGCTTCAGAGGGTCCTGGTCGGTGGTTTCAAGTTGTTCCACCTCGCTGCCCCTGGGTTTGCCTTTAGAGAGCTGGGAGTCT